TAACAGGCTCCATTTGCCTAAAGAACAGATGAGATCTCTAAATGAGGTTTGGGAGTCACTTTGTACATTTGGGAGGGTTAGTTGCAAGATCACTGCTTTGTACGTACAGACAGTTGTAGGAATTATATGATGTTTTCTCAGTTTATATTGGTGTAGATTCTAGGTGATTTTAGCATAATGTTAAGCCAGAAACAAACTGCACTGGACATTGCGTAGGTGAGGACTCCCGTCTAGCAAATATCACTGGTGTGAAAGATAAACCGAGAACGGGATAACTGACCCTCTTTCTCTCAGAAGCATAACCCCGGGCAGAAATGGACCACACTTCTCCCTTAAAATTTCTTTCTCACTGGCATCGTGCTGTCCTAATTTGCTTTCTATTGCTGTGACAAAATATTCTTATCCAAAGAAACGTTGAGAGGAGGTTTATTTCTGCACACAGTTCAAGGCCATAGACCTTCAGTGAGGGAAATCAGAAAAGGAACTCAAGGCAGGAACCTCAGCTAGAAACCATGAAGGAATGCTGATTACTGGTCCGCTCATGCTTAGCTAGCTCTCTTATACATCCCAAGTCTGCCTGCCTAGGGATGTTACTGCCCACAGTGGGCTAGGCTTTCCTCTATCAAATAGCGATTTTAAAAAATGGCCCACAAGTAGTCCCACATGCCAATATGATTGAGGTAATTGCTCAGGTGAAGTTCCCTTTTCCTCGGTGACTCTAGGATGTGTCAGGTTGGCAAAAAAAAAAAAAAAAAAAAAAAAAAAAAAAATTAACCAGCACACATGCTTATCCTCATTTATTCTTATTAGAGAGAAATAACTCCTGCTTTATACTAATAAGTACTGTGCACTTGTTATTTTTTGGCTATTCTTTCTACCACACCCTCTGATAGGTTTTATTTTCCATTTCTTTGTGCGTATTCTGTGACACCATCTGATACAGCTTTAATGTACACACCAGCATCTTACCTGTCCCCTTACTTTCTCCTCTCCACTTTCACTGCAGCCTTGCTCAGGGCTGCGGATTGAACCTGAAGCTTCACACATGCTAGACAAGTGTTCTACCACTGAGCTATAGCTCCAGCCCAGCACCTTTTCTTTACTATATAAATCGTTTTTTTCTCCTATGAACATTTCTCCTTAGTTAGTTGTTATCCTAAAGATATTAATAGCTCCATTGTCCTTATTTTACAACTGAAATTCTAAGTATTTCATGCTAAATATAATTGGTAACTAATATGTATCAGGTATATATATATATATATATATATATATATATATATATATATATATATAATTATACCAGAGGTAGAAAGAAATCATTGTAGACCATGTGCTCATAAAAAGAATTAAATTCAATGACTGGAACACAAGAAGCCTTATCTATATTTAAACAACAAAATAGTTCTATTAAAAGTGTCCCTGAAACAAAAGTACAAGCCTAAGTGACTTCACTGGTGAAGTCTATAAAACACAATGGGAAAACTATTGTCATTAGGAAACAATGTCCTTTGAAAAAATAAAACTCATCATATGAGACTCCATTACACAAATACCCAAACCAAAAACATGAGAAAAAAATTGCTACCCCTAAAGAGAACGTGTATTGTCTTCGGCTGTGGATCCACTGAGACACACACTAGGACAGTGCCACGTACTTGTTAATATAGATGACCGTGGTTACGGCAGTGAGTCTAAATAAACATAAGAAAAACAAATTTATTCTTTGTATTATAATACAAAATAAAAAAATTTAAAGTTATAATTCAAAAAGAAAAAATTTTAATGGTGTATTGTACAGCAGGGTAAATAGACATTTACTTCCCCTAAAATATCTGGGAGAAAGGATTTTGACTATGTATACTGTAAGTAAGTGGTCAGTCTTTGATAGAAATGTTTGCATGATTTGACCAGTTCGCAATATACTTGATTAAAAACACACATAGTATCCCATATAATGAACAATTTTCAGATCTTATTTCCAAAACTAGCACATTTAATTTATAAGTATAAAAAAGAATAGTATTTCATGACAAAATAAAGATGCTTAAGAAGTTGGAGTTTTGGTTTAATGTGTGAGAATAACGGAGAGATCTCTCAGTGATTAAGAGTGTGTGTTGCTCTTCCAAAGAACCTGTGTTTGTTTCAACACTCACGTCAAGCTGCTTTAATTACCTGCAACTTCAGTTCCAAGACATCTGACAGCTCTTCTCACCTCAGCAGACGTTTTCACATAAAGACACTCCCAAAATCATATAAAATTAAAACTAAATCTTTTCTTAACATTTGAAAACTAGCCAAAAAGTCTCACGACATTCGTACATCAAAGATGATTTGTGTATCATCTCAATTGATCCATAGAGTATTTACCAAAATTCAGCATCAATATCTACTGAGAAAACTGCCAAGGGCAGCTAGAAATAGTTACTCTCTATATCAGAAAAGGATCACCAATAGAAAGTCGACAACAAGCTTCATATTTAATAATAAAATTCAGAACTATTTCCAATACAATCAGGAGTAAGGATAGTATGTTGCACTTTTACAAAAAAAAACCTACCTAGTGCATTTTGTAAAAAATCATTAATTTTTAGATTAAAATATAATCACATCATCTCCCCCTTTCTTTTCCTCTCTCCAAGGCCTCCCATATATCTTTCCTTGCTCTCTTTCAAATTCATGGCCTCTTTTTCATTAATTGTTTACATACATATAAATGTATATTTCTAAATGCATAAATAAGACCTGTTATTTGTATAATACTTTTGTGTTTTCACTGATGGCTCTTTAGTACTGAATAACCAATTGGTGCACTCTTCCCTGTGGAAGATTGTATCTGCTGTTCTATATAGTCTTCAGTTGCCTGGAGTTCTTTGTCTAGGGTTGAGGCCTTCTGAGCATTTCCTCATTTACATTAACATGTTTATTGATGTCTTCCTTTCCATCTCATAGTTAGGTAGTGATGGTAGTGAGACTTTAGCGTGTACTTTCTGGTATTCCTAGGAGTTATAGTCTCACAACCAACTCCCGGTTCCACAGACTGTCATACAATCTTCCCACCCTCTCCTGTGAAATGGCCCATGAGCCTTATGTGCAGCATTGTATTGTAGTTGTGTGAGTCGGGGCTAGGCTCTATCCCTCTGCATTTTGATTGGTTGTCATTTTCTATAGTGGTATCAGTCTTTTGCAAAGAGGAACTTCCTTGACAAATATTTAGAATATCCTTGAGGATTGTGATGGTTTAATAAAGTGGTGGTTATATGTTCTCATCCAAGACCTATGACTTCACTGGCGCTGGGTAGATAGTTACTAGTCCCAGGCATGATTTCTCTCTTGTTGGACAGATCTTAAAGACAGTTAGAGAACTGTTAGTTACTGACAAAGTATGCATATCACTATGGCACACTCAGTTTATCCTGCCATGCTCATCATTATTTTAGTTCATAGGTGGCATAGCTGGACAGGACTGTTGGTTGCTACCCTCATTTGGAAATGCCATGGCTGTGAAAGCTAGTCTTCAGGGGAAATGTTTTCAGATCATTTCCAGTCCAGGGCTCTCTGGATCATGTATATGAATTGTATGGTATCCTCATAATAGGAACTTACCTTCCACCTCTGTAATGCAACCAAGAGCAATAGCAATAGCCCATTTGGGGAGTCTCTTGGACAACACTGTTCAACAATGGAAAAGAAGGAAGTTTCTCACACCTGGTGTTGGGGTCTTTTACAGATGGTCTTTGGTTCTTGGGGGGAATATTGTCAGGCCAGAAAGGAAAATTTCATTTATAAACCGACTTACATGTATTATAGACTTTAATGGTTGTATAGTAAATAGTATGATTCCTTATGATTTTTTTCAGACATACTCACTGTTATTCTACCTTCCTTGTGCCTTCTTTTATATTTATTTCTCTCCAATCCCATTAATGAGAATTTCTTTTTATCCAATTTAGCCTACAAATCACTATACCCTTCTAGTTTCCTCTATATTTCTTTCACACTCCCTCCCGTGACAATATCCATTTCTATATTCATTGCTTCTACAGTTACTCTGTGTCATGTACTCATAGGTGAAGATTTCTATCTAGCTTATATATATATAAGATTTCTATTTCAGCCTTAACTGAAAGAAAGGATGTGACATTTGGCTCTCTGGGTCTCAGTTACCTTACTCACTATGATCTTTTCTCATCCTATCCATTTAATTGCACATCTCGTAATGTTATTTTCCTTTACAGCTGAATAGTATTTCATAGTGTATATGAATCATATTTTCACTACCCATTCATCAGTCGAAGGTCATTTAGGTTGGTTTAATTCCCTATTTGTTGTGAATTGAGTACCAGTGAATATGGCCGACAAAATCTATGTGGATTAGGAGGTTGGGTTCTCTGGGCATATGCTAAAGAGTGCTCTGCCTGAGTAATATGTTAGATTTATTTTTATCTTCCTGAGAATTATCCACACTGATTTCCACAGCAGCTGTATCAGGAAAGCAATGCTTATCTCAGAAGGAGTCAATGGAAAAAGAATAAAAAAACAGGATGAATCATAACCAGAGAAAAGAACATCATTGCAAGTTTAAATGTGCAAATAAAACTCAAGGAATTGAAGGCAGATGATATCTACAAGGAAGAAGCTGTCATTTCTAGTGCTTATAAAGAAAAGGAACAGAGAGGGGAGGAGCTACAGAATAAACAACTGTTGTCCATAGATGTACTTTCTAAAGCATACTTTAAGTAATAGTGACAAACATAAGTTCACTTTGTTTCACAATAGTTACTTTACATGCCATAGATTTGCCTGAAAATAACACAAGGGACTTTAAGCTGTGACTGCTTTTATTCATTGCTCAACCTGCATGTTCAGTCTCTTGGGATTCTTTTCCTTTAATCTGCTCATGGAAGTTCTTCCAGATACTGTCTCATTTTCTGAAGAAGGCACTTCTAGAATCTTCTAGTGTATATAGTTGCTAGCTTAAGTTAGGACCTGGCTATAGCTCAGGAGGGCGGGTTCTTTAACTCTATTTTAATGGTAGCTGCTATTTTGAAAGTGGGAACTGGCTCATCCTTGCTCCCAGACACATCTGCAGAAGTAGGATCTGTTCCTTCAGTGTTTCTATCACCTGTCAAAGAAGAATCTAATTCTTTCTCTGTGATACCTTCTACTGGGGGCAACTGATGTTCTTTTAGTAAAGTCTTATCTTCAGGGCATTGTTGAGAAGGAGCAAGTGAACCTTCATCAGGTGTGTCTTGCATGGGAAACTCTTGAATAGGGACCCCATCAGTTTTGGAAGGCTGTTTAACAACAGGAGAGTCTTCAGCAGGAGTCTCAGGTGGTGGAGGCTGAACATCAGCAGAGGTCTTTTCAGGGCTCTCCTCAACTGACGTCACCTGGGTTTCCATTGTAGTTTCTTCAGGAGGAGCCCCCTCAGATGAAGGAGACCCAGTTTCAGCTGTAGGGCCATCTTCAACTGGAACCACATTCGTAAAGACCTCCTCAGCTGATAGAGGTTGAACTTCAACAGAAGCCCCTTGTAGGGGAGTCTCTTGAGTAAGTGGAAACTCAGCTTCGGCAGGTGTATCATCTGCTGATAGACGTGGAGCTTCAGCATGGGCCTCCTCAGCTGGAGCAGGTGGAGATTCAACAGGGACCTCCTCAGCTGATGCAGGTGGAGCTTCAGCAGGGGCCTCCCCAACTGGAGCAGGTGGAGATTCAACAGGGACCTCCTCAGCTGGTGTAGGTGGAGCTTCGGCAGGGGCCTCCTCAGCTGGTACAGGTGGAGCTTCTGTGGGGGCCTCCTCAGCTGGTGCAGGTGGGACTTCAGGGGCCTCCTCAGCTGGTGGAGGTGAAATTTCTGCAGGGGCCTCCTCAGCTGGTGCAGGTGGGACTTCAGGGGCCTCCTCAGCTGGTGGAGGAGAAATTTCTACAGGAGCTTCCTCAGCTGGTGCAGGTGGAGGTTCAGCTGGGGCCTCCTCAGCAGGTGGAGCTTCTGCAGGGGCCTCCTCAGCTGGAGCAGGTAGAGCTTCTACAGGGGCCTCCTCAGCTGGAGCAGGTGGAGCTTCTGCAGGGGCCTCCTCTGCTGGAGCAGGTGGAACTTCAGCAGGGGCCTCCTCAGCTGGAGCAGGTGGAGCTTCAGCAGGGGCCTCCTCAGCTGAAGCAAGTGGAGCTTCTGCAGGGGTCTCCTCAGCTGGTGCAGGTGGAGCTTCTGCTGGGGCCTCCTCAGCTGGTGCAGGTGGAGGTTCAGCTGGGGCCTCCTCAGCTGGTGGAGCTTCTGAAGGGGCCTCCTCAGCTGGTGCAGGTGGAGCTTCTGCAGGGACCTCCTCAGCTGGAGCAGGTGGAGCTTCTGCAGGGGCCTCCTCAGCTGGTGCAGGTGGAGTTTCTGCAGGGGCCTCTTCTGCTGGTGCAGGTGGAGGTTCAGCAGGGGCCTCCTCAGCTGGTGCAGGTGGAGGTTCAGCAGGGGCCTCCTCAGCTGGTGCAGGTGAAGCTTCTGCAGGGGCCTCCTCTGCTGGAGCAGGTGGAACTTCAGCAGGGGCCTCCTCAGCTGGAGCAGGTGGAGCTTCAGCAGGGGCCTCCTCAGCTGAAGCAAGTGGAGCTTCTGCAGGGGTCTCCTCAGCTGGTGCAGGTGGAGCTTCTGCTGGGGCCTCCTCAGCTGGTGCAGGTAGAGGTTCAGCTGGGGCCTCCTCAGCTGGTGGAGCTTCTGAAGGGGCCTCCTCAGCTGGTGCAGGTGGAGCTTCTGCAGGGACCTCCTCAGCTGGAGCAGGTGGAGCTTCTGCAGGGGCCTCCTCAGCTGGTGCAGGTGGAGTTTCTGCAGGGGCCTCCTCAGCTGGTGCAGGTGAAGCTTCTGCAGGGGCCTCCTCAGCAGGTGGAGCTTCTTCAGGGGCCTCCTCAGCTGGTGCAGGTGGAGCTTCTGCAGGGGCCTCCTCAGCTGGTACAGGTGGAGCTTCTGCAGGGGCCTCCTCAGCAGGTGGAGCTTCTGTAGGGGCCTCCTCAGCTGGTGCAGGTGAAGCTTCTGCAGGGGCCTCCTCAGCAGGTGGAGCTTCTTCAGGGGCCTCCTCAGCTGGTGCAGGTGGAGCTTCTGCAGGGGCCTCCTCAGCTGGTACAGGTGGAGCTTCTGCAGGGGCCTCCTCAGCAGGTGGAGCTTCTGTAGGGGCCTCCTCAGCTGGAGCAGATGAAGCTTCTGCAGGGGCCTCCTCAGCTGGTAGAGGCAGAATTCTTGCAGGTGCTACTTCTTCAGGAGCATCCTTTGCTGATGGATGCTGACCTCCTTCAAAGACATCTTCTAGAGGAAATTCCTCAGCTAGTACCACAGCAATTTCTGCTGAGACTGCTTCTAATGTGTGCTTATCTAATGGTGGCTGAACTTCTTTAAAAGCCCCCTCAGATGGTAGAGGTTGACCTCTGTCAGTGGACTCTTCAGCAGTAGCAGATTCTTCTTCGCCTGCTACATTTTGGATCTTCACAAACACTTCTGTGAATGGAACCACAATTTCAATAGGTTGTTCTTCATGATCCACCTCAGCTTTGTGGAGATACTCTCGATCATAAGGCTCATATGAAAGGGCCCCTTGCACTGACAGATGACTAATGTCACCAGGGGCTTCAGAAGGAAGCTCATCAGCTGTTAGAGCCTGGATTTCACCAGAAAATGTCCCTTCAGTGAAAGGCATCATGGCATCAGGGACTTTTTCACCTGGCAGTACCTCTAATTCAAGAAAACCATCTACTTCAAATGAGAAACCCTCTTGTGTAACAGGTATTGTTTCCTCCTTTGGCTTAAGCAGGGAACTACCTGGCATATTCATGATGGTAATTTCTAATTCACTGAAGTATGTCTGTTGTTCCTTGTCCACTGTTTCTTTTGGGCAAATGTACATCACACTAAAGTCACCAGTACAGCTGGTCTGCTGAGATCTGTCTATTAACCGATCTGTGGGTCTGCTTGTTGGAATCTCTACTTCTGGAACACACTGTGGCAATTCAGGAGCTGTTTCTCTAACACCAGCGGAGGTTTCTTCAAGGGTAAGTGTTTTATCAGTGAGTATGGCTTTCGCTTTTTCTTCCACAGAAGCCTCTGTCTGCAGAGACTTATCAGTCATCTCCATGCCCTGCTTTCTCTTCATCCAAGTTTGTTGAAGTTGAGAAGACAGTCTAAGAGACTCATATTCTTTTGCAGAGTAGTTGTCTTTGCTTCCAGAAATATTGCCAATACTGAGGGTAGCTTTGGGGACAGGAGGTTGTGCTACAGCCATGGGTTTCTTTTTTTCTGGTACATCAGTTTGCTGGGACTTGTCTACCATCGGTTGGCTGGGTCGTCTTCTCCTTCTAAATTCCTGCCTCCCTAATGAGATAGGCTGTTCAGGTTCATCACTTTCTTCCATTTTTATGACTGATGATCTCCAAATTTATGAGTCTTCAAGTAGTTAATCATTAAGAATCATAAGTGTATTTGGTGGTTAAGCCTTTGCCTTCCTTCATTGAGTTTTTCTATGGAGTTTAGAAAAAAATAATTCATAAATTATTGGCATTCTTTACTACGTTCTTGTTGGATCCCACCTTACTCATTCATCATCCTTCCTGTTTAGTCTCTGTTAGAACAAATCTCTTTTAGAAGTTCCCTCAAGGGTCTGTGACATCACAGTCACTTCTCCTTACAAGGTTCCGGAAGTTCTGTTTCCAGCAGTTTTAAGCTTGGTTTATTCACATAAGCAATGACTAAATGTGAAGTGTCTAGGTTTTTTTTTGTTTTTGTTTTAAAAAATCAGGTTGAAAATGAATTTCTTTCCCAGATGAATAATTTAACTCCAAGAGAGCCACTAATTGTTAAAGGTGATCTTTTTGAGCTTACAACTTGATTCTTTTCCTTCTACTAACGAATTATAATACAGAACTCAGTATGGGCAGGTTGTCCATTATTAGAGTTAGTGTGTGTGTGTGTGTGTGTGTGTGTGTGTGTGTGTGTAGGAATGTCTGATAAATGGATGTCTATAGGACTTCGAAAGAAACTGCCTCTCTTTAGAAGACTCTCAATTTGGAATTCAATATCTATGGAAGCTTCATTCCTTTGCCTTTAACCTTCCGTGACTACAGCCTACTACTACCAAAAGATAATCCATGTTTTCAGTCTCAAGCAATGTAAAGTATTTTCCATTTATTTTGAATTATTTTATAAAGTAGTTTTATCCAAATTTTTACAGATGTAAGGCTACTGAGTCTAAATATATGTCAGGTTAAACACAATGTTTTTAAAGTCGTTTCTACAGATTCTCCTGAATGATCACATGGAATGGATCTTTCAAGGGGACAAAGTCATCTGATAATGAATGGGACTGGTTTCATTGAGGGGTTTGATAGGGCTGAAAGGAAAATGAGAAAGGGTGAGAGGAGATATTGTATACAATTTAGGAAACTTTCAAGTAGCAAAATTATTGGTAAAATTTTGTATTGAATTGGAAAATAGAAACCCCACATAAGCATATCATAGGCGGTAAGTTGAGATTATATATATAATCACTGTATATCTACATACTATCACATTTATAGATATAAAACCTTTTACTTATATATAACACAAGAATTTCTTTATTGCTTCAAGACAATATGAAAGCAAATGAAACAATCCTTGTTGCTAGACAGTAGTAGCATGAATGAGTCCCTTGTACATTCCTTCAAATAAATTGAAACCCAAGGCTAGAAGTTCTTCTAGACCTTTCTAGAATAAACCATCTACAAACTAGGGAGACACAGATCAACTTTTAGTATATTCTTTGTTTCTACTAGTAATAATGAGCTCATAGCCATGAATGACCATGCATGCACAACCAATTAATGATTCTACCTAAGATTATAATTGCCTTGTGAAGCACTAATTTTCGCATGCTAATTTTTCTTTAATAAATAAAATATGTTTTCAATAAAGAAAATATATTCTTTTCTCATTCAATATATCCTGATTACAGTTTCCCCTCCCTTTACTCCTCCCAATTCCTCCACACCTCCTCTTCCCTCCAGATTCACTCCCTTTCTGTCTTTCATTAGCAAAGAGCAAACTTCTAAGAGATAACAGCTGAACCTGACAAAACTGGAACATAATAAGATAAATCAAAACCATCACATCGAGGTTGGACAAGGCAATTTAATGGAAGGAAAAGAGCCTCGATAGCATGCACAAGAGTCAGAGACATGCTCACTCACACACTCAGGAGTCCCATGAAAATATTAAGCTGAAAGCTACAACATAAATGAAGGTTAACTGGTGCAGACCTGTGTGGTCTCTGTACTTGCTGCTTCAATACCTTTATGTTCCTATGCACCTCGCTCAGTTGACTGGCAGGGGTGGGGGGAGGCAGTAAACCTTGTTCTCCTGTTGTCCTCCATCCCTTTTGGCATATACATACACTCTTCCCTCTTCTGAGGGGTTCCCTCATCTCTGAAGAAATTTGATAGAGACATCTCATTTAGATGTCTCTAAAGCTGTGGCTGTGTCTTTCCAAAGACTGTCTCTGACTGTGGATCTCTGCATCTGTTTCTGTCCACTACAGGAGAAAGCACCTCTGATGATTTCACATGATTTCTTAAAACCTACAGATGTTTTCGCAGATGTTTCCAGTGGTGACCTCATTACTCTCTGTTTAAGACTTGGAAGTTCACTCTTTTTCTTGGTAATCTCACATGGCTTAGCACTTCTTACTTGGTTCACACACATTAATTATTAATCTGTGATTCCCAAATGAAACTGAAATCCTAAACTTAGTATCTGTGGATGTGACTTTGTTTAATAAAAGGGTATTGACTGGGGACATGATAGGTATTCCTTTAATCCCAGCACTAGAGATAGAGACAGTCAGATCATTGTTGAAACCAGCCTGTTCTACAAACAAGTTACAAGGCTAGTCAGAGCTACATAGGGAGGAGACCAAGTCTTTTTTAAAAAATAAAATGTCTCTGCATATGTAATCAAATTAAAATGCTAGTCTTACAGGAAAGAGAATATTTAGACACAAAGACAGAGAAGATGGGGATAGAAAGAGGAGTTTGTAGCACAAAATAGGAGATATCTAACATTATCAGAATACAGAAGTGGTGAAGAAGGTTCCACCACAGGAGAGTGCCTACCTCTGCCACCAACTTTATTTGGGGTGTGTAACCTTCAGTAATGTGAGAATATTTATTTCTGTTGTTGTAACTCAATTTTGAGACTTCCTTGTGGGAACACTGGGAACTAATGTAGCATGATTTCAAAGCTCCACACTTAAGATTTCTGCCTTTCTGGCTCTTCAGTTTGAATAACTGGGGTGCTCATTTCAGACTCAGAACTTACAAGGATTTTGATATTGTATGTGGCATATTCCTGTAATCAAAGAACCAGAGGGATTTTCTAAAAGGCTTCTCCTAGATAATTTGCATGTAACTTTACCAAAAATAAAATTTCTAAATAGCATATAATTTCATTTAATATTTTAATGAATTTGAAAGTCATAATTTAAAAGTATCAAACATGCTTCAAATTAATATGGACCTAATATATAAACTGTGAGCAATAAGGTTTTTTTCCTAACTGAATAGACCAGACAAGATAAAGCCTGAGATATGTTCCTGGATTAGTGAATGGTAAGGGCAGAGAATATAAAATGTAAATCTCTGAGTACCTAAAAGATTAAATTAAAATGTCAGGAGAAACCATAAAATTATGCCAAAATATCACATAAAGATCCTTAATGTCCAAAGCACTTTAGAAGTCAATATATAGATAGAAACAGTAGAATACCAAAGACTACTAGTAAAACAAAATTATAGATTAAAAACAAATGGCCAATAAATACATGAGGAAGATTACTAGCAATTATATTTTTAAGAAACTTGAATTTTGGAAATATAGTTACTTCATGAAACATTCTTAGTATGTATATATTTTGGTATGTATATATTCTAACAATATTTCAGGTGTTAGAAAAGCCAGACTAAACAAAGCAAAATGGCACGTCTTTCTGTCCTCATGGACCTTATTGTTCCGTAGAAAAATCCAGTGTACACAAACCTAACCAGACATTTGCAGTGAAACAGTGTGTGCTTTTAGGTCTGCAGAAACCATTGTGTCTATGAGCCCACTGTGGCTTTAACTATATGTATAAGATCTGCACAAGATCATGTCAGTCAAAATTCCCAGCAGAAATGGGATTGAAATCCCACCTCTAGTTGAAGAGCTATTGGTCACTGATGGCTTCTGGGGAAAGAAAAGTCAGTTTTCTGCAGGGATGTGTCCTCTGAGAGACTACTCATGCTCCAGCAGAGTGTCCCACATCTATGTACATACAGGAAGCTCTGAGTGGACTCACTCAGTTTTATAAAAAGAACAAGTTAGTAGAGAAAAGTGATGGAGAGAGAGAGAGAGAGAGAGAGAGATTGAGAAGGAATAGAGGCTAGACTTTATCAAAACATGTGTGAAATTATTAAAAGTACTGTTAGGTGATGAGGAGAGAAAGGATTTGTTGTTTTTTTTTTGTTGTTGTTGTTGTTTTTTGTTTTTGTTTTTCGAGACAGGATTTCTCTGTGGCTTTGGAGCCTGTCCTGGAACTAGCTCTTGTAGACCAGGCTGGTCTCGAACTCACAGAGATCCGACTGCCTCTACCTCCCGAGTGCTGGGATTAAAGGCGTGCGCCACCACCGCCCGGCTCAAGAGAAAGGATTTGTAAGAAAGAATTTGGAAGTGTGTAGGAGAACGCGAATAAAGTAGTCCCACACTAGCTGAGAATTGAGTATGATAAGGGTATTTTTCTATTATTTAGGGAGGACTCGCAGATCACAGTCCTCTGCATGAACAGGGAGCAGGAAAAGTGGGGTTTATGTTAGGAAGCAAAGGCCACACTCTTAGAATTGTGAAAGCAGGAAGGTCAAGGGTGGGATGGTGGTATATGGAATGTGCTGGAAGAAGTTGATGAGGGTTACAGTAATTTACAGAATACCCCTAGTAATACTATTTTGTTTTAAACACCGGAAAATGACTTCCGTTCTCTCTATTAAGATAGCTATGTGAAAGGGGAAATGAGAACTCATTTGTACTTCTGCATTGTAAATGGCCACAGATGGAGCACGATAAACCAACACAGATGTACAATCTCACCTCTTCCATGAGAGTCAAGGTTAAGAGCGGAGGCAAAGATGGTCTGGATTCTCTAATCTGACTCCCACTAGGTAAATTGTACTATTTGAGGGAGACACTGTAACCTATATTCAGAGCCTCTTTCTGGCTCATTGAGCACCAGCAAAATGATTCAGATTGCAGGACCCCAGACCCAGTTATCTTGCTACAGACAGCTAGAGCAACTTTTGGCTACTAATAGCTTCTATCACATCCTGATCAAAACAGTCACCTCACAGCATG